TATCTATAACATATTCTTTCTATCTATCTATCTATCTATCTATCTATCTATCTATCTATCTATCTATCTATCTATCTATCTATCATCTATCATTATCTATATCTATCTCAGCTCTAAAAGGTAGAGAAAAGAAGACAATCCAGCTTGGGCCTTTGAGACCCAAGGACTGACATGGCAGTAAGTTCCTGAGTTTTCTTTGGCCTCACGTATCCCAGAATCAGAGCAGAAGCAGCCACCAACCCAGAAATGCCAATGGGTGTAGGTAGAAAAGTCAGGCGTCGTTGTGAGGGGCTGCGAAGTGTAGGTTAGACCCTGGCTGGCTATGTGCCCACTAATGCGTGGAGGATGGGGGCTCTATTGCTGAGGCAGGCAGGGAGGACAAACATCAAGGGACAGCCAGCAGGCTCTGCAGCAATGCCCAAGGTTGGAATCCTTTGACGTGGACAAGTCACTTCCGGTGTGGAGTCCAGGCCACGTCCCGTGCGGTACCTCTCAGCACGCAGTGGCAGCGCATGGGCGGACTGCGCTTTAAATGTCTTTCCTTTTCATCTTCTTTTTCATTATAGGCCATTATGAGGTAGTGAATATAGTTCCCCATGCTGTACAGCAGGACCTTGCTGTTTATTTTATATATAGTAGTCAGTATCTGCAAATCTCGATCTTCCGGTTTATCCCTTCCCACCCCTTTCCCCTCTGGTAACCATAAGTTTGTTTTCTATGTCTGTGATTTTGGCTCTGTTTTGCAAAATAAGTTCATTTGTTTCCTTTTTTTTCATATATAAGCGATATTATATTCCAGATATAAGTGATATTATATGATATTTGTCTTTCTGGCTTCACTTAATATGACGATCTTCAGGTCTATATGTGCAACTGAGTCACTATGCTGCACCCCAGAAAGTAACACAACATTGTAAATCGGCTGTACTTCAATAACAAACAGAACAAGAAAAACATCTTTCCTAGAGAACAACGTGTGGGTCACATGAGGCGGCCTCTGCCGTCCTGGGAGCCCTCTGGCTGGGGCCCCTTCGAGCACCCCGTGTGAGAGGCCCTCCCCGGAGACGGCCCTGTGAGCTGTTAAGCTAATGTGTTCACGCCTCCCCCACAATATTGTCTGGAGCTCCCGGGCCCAGAATCTGGGCCTCCTGGCTCCTGAGGAAGGGCAGGCGTGGGGTGGAACAAAGCAGTCCGCAGAGCCCCAGCCCCGAGGCTCCAGGCCGGCTCCCCGGAGTCTGGGAGAGGCTGTGTCTTGAATGCTTGGCTTTTTGTTTGAGAGAGAAAAGTGTTTTCCGCAGTCCTAGGCTTCCTTTCACAGAGAAACCCCCGGGTTCCGAGGAGCCACAAGGTGGGCAGGACGATGGGGGTGGGGTGGGCGAGGACAGGCCCAGGATGGGGCATGAAGGCAGAGATGGAGGGGAAGGCACCAGGGAGTTGGTGAGGACAGAGGCTGGTGGTCCTGGCTGGGGCCGTGATGGCCTTCTTGACAAAGTGGCAGGGGACAGCATTCATGAACACCCTGCCACCCATCACCGGGGAATAGGAGTGCCCCTGCGCCCAGATGTCTGCTACCCAGAGGGGACAGGAAGCAGAGGAGGCCGGGGGACCCCTAGCACACTGGTTCTCACCAGGAGATACAGTTAACTGAAACACACAAATGCACAAAATTAAATCACACTTCAGAGAGAACGGAAATTTAAAGTCAGGATGTCAGCAATTTCTTTAAAAGGGCATGTTCTGGGGGTAAGTCTGGGTAGTGCTGTGTATTCACAACTCTCCTTTGGGCCTGCCGGGAACTCGGGTCCCACGGAGAAGCCTCAGGACGGGGAGGGCTGGGCTGGGAGCCCAGGGAAGGGAGAGGCCCAGCAGGCCAGGGGGTCTTTGGCAGAGAGAGAAGGCAGGTGGGTTACCCACCTGACTTCTAGGGCAGGAAACCAGATGGCGCTGATTGGGTGGGGGGGGATGGGGATGGGTGGGGCTGTTAGGGGGGGACCTGGAAAATCAGTTCATCAGGGTCCTGTGAGGGAAAGGAAGGATTAGAGGGATAGTTGGTAGGGGGGTCCAGAGGTGGTGGCCGGCGTGGCCTTGCTCTGCAGGGCTTTGCTCTGTGGGGGAGACTGAGTTGGTCATGGGGAGGATCAGGGCTCTGCTTTTAACCAGCCCCCCTTCCCAGTGACTGGTCTATGATCAGGGTTGGAGACAAGATGGTGTGGCTTGGAGTGGCTGGCATGGCCCACCTGGGCCCGGCTCCATCTCTGGAACCAGGTGAGCCCTTAACAGCAGCCTTCCCATCTCACGGAGAAGGGCCGACGCAGGACAGTGGGCCGGTCAGAATCCAAGCCCTGACCTGACAACGGGCTGTGTCCACCGGGGGTTTGGAGGGGAGCCTAGACCAGGCCCCCATGAATGCCTGGGGCGAAGCCCCCCATGTCAGGCCCTGGCAAGGAGGTGGGTGCCTGTCCCTGTCCGCAAGGGCAGGAGCTGGGGTGGGGCCTGGTCATTTGGGGTGCTCCTCCCCAAGGCCTCTGGGTCTTGGAGGGGACCTTGGGCTCTGGTCCTCTCAGGGTTGGTGATGGCCCCTCGAGAAGCCCGCGTGCCCTGGGCCGGGAGCATGGCCCTCTAGGTGCCGCGGCAAAGGGCGCCTGCCCTGCCCCGGACGGGGAGTCAGGCCTGCTTTCCCCAGGAGGAGCCTGGCAGGCGTGGAGGTCCAGGGCTGAGGATTCAGGGGAAGCAGAGGGAGCAGCCACCCCAGGAGGTGGCAGCTATTGGAGTTGTCGGGAGTGAGGAGGAAACAGCAAGGGACTCGGGGTTGGGGAGGCTGGTGGGGGGCGCCCCGAGGGGCAGGGGGACCAGGAGGGGTGGACGGTGACAGGTTAGGCAAGCGTAGGGAGGGGCACGAAGGACTGGGCCGGGACCGGGTCTCGGGCTCAGGAAGACCTAGAAGTGACCTTTATGAAACTAATGCATTGAGTATCAACTATACTTTAATTTAAAAAAATTTAAAAATTTAAAAATATTTTAAAAAGTGAGAAAAAAGGGAAATAAAAAGAAGTGACTTTCAACTTTAAACAGTGGGAAGATGGGCCGCCTCTCTCGCTCCCTCCCCTTCGGAGACGGCCCGCACCGTCTGTGGAATGTGCACCTACTTTTACTCTAACCTGAGCTCCCAACTCCCACGCCTCGTGGCCTGTCTCGTGCCTTTTGAAACAGCCTACACTCTATGCAGTATGTCGCTCTCTAAATAAATCTACATTTACTAAAAAAAAAAAAAAATAAGGGGGATGATGAAAGCTCTTATCTTTGTGGGGAGGTGTTTTCAGGTTTAACTCAGCCTTTGTCTGCTCACATGGGCCCTGCAGGGCTGTCCCCCTGGGTTCATCGAGGGAGGACCAGGCGGAGGCTGCACACTGGATGTCCAGGCTGTGACTTGGCCTGCATGGGGTCTCCTCTCACTGCACCCCCCTGCGGGACTCTGCCTCGATGTCAGAGGGCCCTGCCTCGCGGACTCAGATGGTCAAGAACACGCTAGCTGTTTGGATCTTAAGGGGCAGCTGTGACCACCACCCACCCTGCCTCCCCCACGGACGAGAGAAAGTGCTGGTGAGCAGAATGGGCCGCCTCTGCCCCAGGCACGGCCATGGTCCTAACTGGCCACCATCCCCTGGGTTTCGGTCCTTCCTCCTCTGCAGGCGGTGGTGGGTGGGGGGTGGGGAGTGAGCCCGGGCCCCCTTGCCCAGGACTGAAATAGTGCGGATCTTTGGATGTGCTCTGGCCCCATCAGCCCCACTGCCCTGAACTTGGCTACATCTATGTCTTTCTCCCATACCCACAAGGCAGGAGTGTCCCCCGACACAGACTGTGGGACAGGGAGGAAAAGACGCCCCCAGGCCTGGGGGTCTGGAGCCTGGCATGGACAGCACCCGCCAGGAGCAGGGTGGATCTGGTCCACCAGGGCCCTGGCCCTCACAGCTGGCCCCACCTCTGAGCGCAACAGATTCATCTCCACGGAGGAAGAGCAGTGAGCCCCGTGATCACATCAGGACTCAGAAATCGAGCAAGGGTCTCCCTCCCGACCCATGGGACAGAGAATGAAACTCCATGAGCAGCCGGGGGACCAACTCACCTGTGCGGCATTTGTGCCCAAAACGTTTAACTGAATCCGATCATGAGAAACGGACACAAGCAAACCTTTAAGGGACAACTAGCCGATGTTCAAATGTCAATGCTAAGAAAGATGCAGGAAGAGGGAGGGTGCCTCTGCCCAGTGGAAGGACATGGGACAGGCGTGACAGCTGAGCCCTGTGTGGGTCATAGCAGTGTTCGGCAGACATCGTGGGGACAGCTGGAAAACCTGGAGGTGGACTGGACATCAGCTAGTATTTCTGTATTTCAGTTAAATTTCAGGGATATGATAATGGTGTATTTTGGGGCAGAATGTTATCCTTAGGAGGCACACGCTGAACTGTTTAGAAGTATTCTGGGGGCTGCAACTTATCTTCACATGCTTCCGAACAACGTGTGCGTGTCCCCGTGTGGATGCCGTGTGCATGTGTGGGATGTGTGTGTACAGAGACAGAAAGCCACTCAAGCGCAGGATAACAAAACGAGACGCACTGTGAATCCTGGTAAATCTAGGCTAGGGGTTTGCGGGTGTCCATGAACTAGTCTCTCAACTTGTCGTTCACAATCTTTCAAAATTAAGAGTTGAGCGGCAGGGTGTCACTTAGAAAGAGAGCGCCTGACTTTTCAATGAAAGATGGTTAATACATGATGAATGATTAAGAGGCGATTCCCTGCGGTGCCGATGGTCAGATCTCACTTTCACGAAGCATCAGTGACACCCTGTGCGCCCTCGTCTCTCACTGCGCTGCCTGTCCCCGAGGGACAACCGTCTGCTCCAGTGTTGACTGCCGTGTCTCAGATGCTCATTGGGAAAATCAAACTGGGACGGCGCCGCCCTGGGCAGGCTGCTGTGTGGGCACAGACCACGCACACCAGTGCTCCTTTTCAGGGTTTATTTCATCTGCTAACATTCCTTCTTGACCTAGACAAAAACAATTAAGTGATTATGACTTGGTTTTTCCATCATTGACTCGTTTTTGAGTAACCAAAGGTTTCTTCTCAACACTTTTTTTTTAATAAGAAGCTATAAATAAATAAAGCTTTAAACGCTCCTGGGTTCAAGTTAAACCCTTCCAGTTCCCAAAAAGTTCACAGACTCGTTGCTCGGACAGTTCTGCCGGCCCCGGGTCCTCCTCCGGGAGAGGATGGTGCAGGATGGCGCATGTGGGGGGCTGTTCCCTCACTTTGTGTTTACTTCTGTCCCTCAGCTTTGGGAAGAGCCCATCGTAGGAGGGTACCCCTTCCCTGGAGCCCCAGCTTGCGGCTTAGGAGATGCTGCGGGCACAAGGAGCCTTCCCCGCAAAGCAGGCAGCCTGGGCGGGCAGTGCTGGACGGGAGACCCCAGCAGCTGAGGGGCACGGTCCCTGGCACCAAGGTGGACCCGGGTGCTGGCAGAGCCGGGACCTCCTTCCAGAGGCAGCAGAGAAACCGCGAGGCCATGTATCCGTGTGACTTGGGACAACGGGCCATGAGTTAAACATTCCATTATGTACAGAACAGATCCTGCGCTCAGGCCTGCACACGCAAGAGCCCACCCTGACGAAGGCTGCAGGAGCCAGGCCACCAGACGGGTGCCCAGGGGCTCAGGCAGGACAGGGCTGAGCCTTCGGCCTGACAGGAGGCCACAGCAAGACCCCAAGGGCTCTCCTGAGCACGGCCCACCCCCAAGTACCAGAGCAGACCCCCACGCTGACCTCTGCATTCCTCTACAAGAGCCACTGAATCGCCTGAGCGCTCACCTCCTCAGTGTAACATGTCCCCTTCGGAGGTGGTCCTGGGCTGGGCTGGCATGGGGCCCACCCCAGCCGGCTGACCACTTGCCCTTGGACTGCAAGATGACGTGGCCAGGGTAGGAAGCTGAAAGGGGGCCCTTATGCCAGACCAGCAAGGACTCAAGCCGCTGCTTTCCGGGTAGCCCCTCACTGGACCACACCTGAGCGTATCCTGTGCTGTGGAAGGTTCTGTGCTCCCACCCCTTCACTCCATAGGAGAGCACCTGGGATGGGGAACCCGGGCAGGATCTGCCCTCGGCAGCCTGGCGGCACACAGGCTCTTCCTGGAGAGACAGGGTGCCCGTCCCCCTCGGGTGGGGCTCACATTCAGCCCCCAAAGCTCGGGTCTCATGCGGGGAGGGCACATCCGGAAGAGGTGCTGGCCTGACCTCTTTGAGCACATGGGGGATGGGTGTGGGGAGAGTGTCTACAATCAACTGAACATGGCTTCTCCAATCTGCAGGGCTGCTGGGAACAGGCCCGAGCAGCTGGCAGGGGCGGGGGTGCAGGGAAACGTGGGGAAGCCCGGGGTGCAGGGCTGTGCATCTGGATACTAGGGAGCCACCCAGAACTGTTTTGTCCAACCCAAGTTGAGAATGTGGAAGCCCGAGGACTCTTTCCTGGCCGTCATGGGCCACCATGGCCCCAAAATATGGCTCATGGGCAGTGGCTGTGGTCTGCAGTGTTCCTGCCAATGCATGCTTGATGGAACTTCACTCATGGGGTCGTGGGGCTGTGGCCAGTCCACTAACAAAGTCCAGAGGGTCAGAAAGGAGGCTGGGGCAGGGAGAGCTCCAGGTTTCCACCCCTCTCTCCTGTCTGAGCTGGTCTGGCTGGGTGGTTACCCCAAAGGTCAGCTAGGGGGACTGCTTGGACACAGGCAGCTGCATCCTCACCATGGACTTCCCAATGTGGGATGCTCTCTGCCCGTGGAAATGCAGTGTGGGGCCTGTCTCCCCATATCCCCTCAGTCTGCAGACTGTGGAAAATGGTGGGGGCACCCCAGGGGATGTGCTTTGATCTCCCGACCCAAAGCATGAAGTCGGACTGTGGTTTTTGACCTTGGGCCAGAGAGGAAAGTGGGCTTTCCAGGGGCTGGACTAGTTTTCTTGGCTTCAGAAGGGGTGGGCGAGCTGGGAGTTCCATTTAGGCTGCCTGTGTCCCCAGGGAGGGGGCTGCACGCAGGCACTGGGGCCAGGGGGTCCCCAGAGGCTGAGGGGCTTTGGGTGGCCTGAGCCTGGGGAGAGTGCGGGCAGAGCCACGCTCCTGGCCTGGCGGGTCTGCTCTCCACTGCCCTGGCTTTTCCTCATCTTCAAACCTGCGGCTGTCGTGATAGTGAGGTGGGGGCTGGGAGGGCGGGGACATGTCTGCCCCCAACCCGGGCAGGCCATCCCGCAAGCACGCATCCCTCGGACCCAGGAGGCTCCCGGGCTGACTTCTCAGACCCCGGCCTGGGAGGGCAGGAGGAGCCCACGCCCCATCTCCCCCGACTTGGCTCAGATGAGCGGATGAGGGCTCTCTTGCTGGAGTTCCGGGGGCCGCATGTGGTCAGTCTGTCCGTCCGTCTGTCTGGTCTCGGGCCCCCCACCCCGCCCCGCCGGCTGCCACTACCACTTCTCGATGATGTGGCTCATGTAGTCCTCGGTGGGCACGCGGCCCGGCTCCTCGACGTCCCCCGCGGCGGGCGGCCTCCTTCGGTCCCGGGTCCGGTCACGTAAGGTCGGCCGTCCTTCCCGTCCGGGCGTCCCGGTACGGGGCGGCCTGTCGTCGGCCGGGACCGGC